GGGGGGGGGGGGGGGGTTGCGGGAGTCTAGGCCGCTGCTGGTGCCCTTCATGGACTTGTTGAACTTCAACTTTGTTCAGGGGAACGTCCAGGTGTGTTTGCTTAGTTTTTTTGGTCGTTCAAAAGGGAGGGGGGGGGGGGATTCTGGGTACGTCCCCGTTATTTTGAGGCGTGTTGTTGCGTCAGAAAGTGGGTGTAAATCCATCAACCATCGCCGCATCGATCGGGAGCCAGGTACGCAGGCAGGCTCTGTTCTGTTCCTTACCCGACGCTGTTGGACTGGTGTCGGTTCTACGGTGGCAAGCAACACTCATCCAGCTCGTTCCGCTGCCGTCCAGGTGGTCGCGGCTTGGCCGAGCGATCGCGGTGACGGCGGCGACAGCCGGGAGGGGGTCTTGGTAGAGTTCGACGAGGAAGAGTGGGAGTACGAGAGGCCGGAAGAGCCAGAGGTCTGGCTGGTCGCCACTCGCCGCGTGGCTGCCGGCGGCAGCTTGGAGGTGAAGGAGGACTACAGCAACGAGCGGCGGCTATGCAACTACGGGTTCGTGGACATCAACCGACGAAGAGAGCGCAACCACTTTAGGTTCGAGGTACAAACGTGTGTCCTGGCTTTTAAGCGCTGCTGTCGAGAGGGAGTTGTTTGGGTGTATGTATTCTAGACTATACGTGGTGAAAACGTACATAGAGTGTATTTTTTCGTTCTCTCGCTCCTTGGTAAGAATCTGCTACCTGCTGCTGCTGCTGCTGCTGCTGCTGCTGCTACTGCTCTCGCTGCCGCTGTCGCTCCATCATCCTTTTGGTGAGCAGAAGAAGATCTTGAGAGCCGCTCGCATCCACGCCGGCATCCTAGACGAGCAGTTCGGGTCGAAGTTCGAGCAAGACGGCTTGGAGCCGTGGCAGCAGCGGGCCCTGATCGAGCTTAAGCTAGACGGACCGGAGCAGGACCTTACGGTCTACTTGGGGGGGGACTCAACGAACGGGAGGTTGCCGGTGCGATGAATGTAACTAGTGCACACCCGTGCAATGTACCGCGTGGCAGGGGTATGTGGCGGGAAGAGCGGGGTCGGGTAGGTGAAGGTTTGGTTTTTCGCTGAATTTGTGGTGCGTAGGTTGTTTTGGTTTCCTGTCGGTGGTGGGGTTTGGCGCCAACGTAGCTGATGGATTGCGTGTCTACGGTAAGCGTGGCCTTCTTGTGTGTCGGGATAGAGTCGATTCTCTGCCGTTGGTGTAAGCCTCGTTGGCTTGCTGACTGGCAATCCTGGTTACGTTTCATGCGGCCTCGTCGTGCATTATTGTGCATGCTACCGATGGCGCGGGGCCGCGTCACCAGGTGGACGGGCGTCTGCTGGCAGCTTTGCGGGTGATGTTCACGCGCAGCAGGAAGGAGATGGAGGGGAAGACCGTGAGCGAGCTCAGCAGGTACAAGGTCAGTGCAACAACACTCCATTCCTTTTGGGCCAGCGTTCCGTACCGCAGGCACGATTCTTGAATAAACAGGGGAGGAAGGTGGCAATGGAACCAGCAGACCAGCACCGGAAAGCGCAAAACCACCGGTTGCACAATAATCGACAACGTGTGCCCTTTAGAATAGGCATAACTCGGATGAAGGTTCCGAGATTGCCTGGTACACATGCATAGCACGAAGAGGATTAGGCGAGGCTGTCTGTGTTTCAGTCCATTATTTCGGGTATCGCATGATAGTGGAAGTTCGGTTCCGCGCAGACCGTGTTGATGGATGGAACGGGAGGGTGGAGCGTCTTGCGAATAGGTGTGCTATGCGGTGCTTGTGGCCGTTGTTGACAGTTAGCGCAGCGCAAACGTACTTTGTGTTGTATTCGGTCGTTGTGGGAGGCGTGGAGTGTCAATTTGCCGTCCCGAAACTCTTTTGACACGCACACGCACACCACAAGGCCATGTAGCTCCAATACAAAGAACGAAAATTGGCAAGGTTTGTTGTTTGTAGCGCTCAGACAGGAAGCTTCGCTGCGCATGTTTTCCACAAACCCGGTGCGGGAGGAGTTCTTGGCGATCTAACGACCCCCGATACTGACACCCCGGAGCCCCCAAGTGCACTACTTGCTTAAATCCCCGAAGTGCGAGTACCACAGAAGAGCAGTACTCTGTTGATGAAGGCGACCGAGCTTTGTTGAAACGATAGAAAGGCGACCAAGCGTAACTACACCTGATTAATGTCATTTGTTTGACGCGGTGGCAGGAACGGGTTGACTGATGCCTGCTGTTCACTTGCATTTGAAAGGCCGACAAGAGGAGAACCTTTCGCCTCGAGGGTATATTAAATTGTTGTTCGCGAACGACCCTCGTATGTTCAACGAGATCCAAGTTGCGAGACCCCGCAGATTGCGTAAGATCAACCCTTCCCCCCACCTCTCCGCCCTTTTGGCCAATGGTATAACAATTACGGCATGCGTTTGCGTTACTATACCGCCATGGCCACCGCCTTCGTGAAGCTGTTGTTCGTGACTGACGACGGCAGACGGGGAAGCTTTCCGACTACGTTGAGCGGCGTGTGCTGGCGACGGTGCTGGGTCTGGTGAGCGTCTACGGGCAGCGGTGGCCCAGCACGCAAGAGGTGCCCCCGCCGTGCGGCTAGCGATTGGGCCGCTTTTGGTCGCATGAAATAGAAGGAACGCATCCTCATTCCTAGTGTGTGATGGAAATCTCGTTCCCAAAGCTATCGCTTGAACCCTTGTTCACTATTATAGATTTCGTTTCTCCCTGATAAATTCGTTTCCAAGCGCTTCCTACAGATTGGCTATATCTCATAAGCGTGACACGGATCCGAAGGGAGTTTACTCGCAACCCCTCCCTCCTCGGACCCGTGTCCCATTTATCAGCAAGACGAGGAGATTCTCTATGGACGGCAAGTGCCCCCCAGCCACCGAGAGAAGCTGAGCCTACCGCCGCCATGGCAAGACAGGGTCCTGCCGGAGGTGCCTGTGGGCCACCTTGAGACCCGGGAGGTGGCCTGGTGCGTTGCGTGGTTCTGTCTAGTGCGCGTTGCGGTAGAGGCCCTTCGATTTGACAGGCGGGGTGTACCGAGCGCGCGGTCTTTAGTGTGTACCACAGGAGGCTTGTTTTGTGGTTGAGGGCTCGAGGAAGTCGTTCGGTATGCTCTCTGTAAGGGAACCCCCTCCACGATATCGTAGATGTCGTAAATCTTGCGCAGATGCTCCTCCTAGCTGTTCCTTTTCGACCATCACAGCTATATGTCGACTTTCACGAATGTCATTTTGTTTTGCTAAGATCGTTGCTGTCATGGTTTGTGTAGTATGTAACGAAAAATGCGTTGAAACGGCGTGTGTTCTGCCTTGCACAATATCGATACATCTCTATGCAAGTGTTCGTAGTTTTTCCAAGTTTTTTCTTTTTTACGGGTCAACTCGCCGTTTCCACACCTACACGCCGGCGGTGTGGGCTTTGCGCGCTCCCCTCTCTCTCGCTCTGTTTGCCCGTGGCAGGGCAAACGCTTTGCAAGCAAGGGGGTCGGAGGCGAAGGAGGGGTGCGGGGAGAAGAAGGTTCGCGACGACGGCAATGAGGGTGAGGACCAAGGCAAGGAGAAAAACGGGATGGTCGGGGCACAAGACGTCGAGGAGGACAAGGACGAGCAGGAGGGTGAAGATGGAGGCGATGATGATGACGTTCTGCGCGTAAATCCGGAGCTGAGCTGGGAAATGTCTCAGGCGGTTGCGTTCCGCTACGCGAAGAAGAGAACGCTCAGCGACGTGTCGCTCATCGCGACGGCCGAGCTTAGAGATATGGGGCTCGTGGAGGGGATGCTGGTGAGTGTGACGGAGGAGGGGCGGGAGATAGATAGGGTGCGCATTGTGGTGATGCGACATCGACCAGTGTGACAGGATGAAGAGAGGACGCTCGAATGGAGTTTCGCGTTGGGTCGGTGATAGTCTACAGGCTTTGCGGCAAGCTTGTCGGACGGTGCTGACTGCGGTGTGTTGGTTGGCAACATAGCAGCATGACGGCAATTCGGCCTCTGTTTCATGACTGACACGGCGGCACGCACGTTGAGAAACTGTACCGGGAGTTCGCCATACGACTGTTGGCGAGTTGTGCGGGCGGCACAGTGCTAGCAAACCACCACGCTACACAAACTTCTCAGTGAAGCCGCCCCCGCGACGTGTGCAGCCTCCCCACTCCTGCTTTCACCGCAGGGAAAGTGCCAATTCCTTGTTCCTTTCTAGTCATCATTGCTCTCCGACACAATACTTCGAGGGTCTGATTTATCCCTGCTACAATACGGTGCATGTGCTCCGTGCTTCCGCTGTTGTTCCCTCCTCTTCTTCCTTTTCGGCAGGAGAACGCCAAAATCGACGTCCGTTCCTTCGCTAAGGGAGGACTAGAAGGACGTTACCCCGTTGTGGACGATGACGAGCTGCCTCTCGAAGAGTAACAAAAGAGGCAGCGTGGCGCTTGTTGAAGGTCCTGCGCCCTTTGCTGGCGACACAGCGCACCGTGGTTCGAGAAATTGGCTGGTGTGCTCGATGGGATAGATACGTTCAATCAAAACCCCGCCAGCGCGCACGATGAAAAGCATGAAAGACAGAGAGAGGGCCTTTGCCAGCATGTTGTCTTTCCGTCGAAAGGGACGGGGGCTCGCGGTGTAGCTGCTTGAGAAGCGGCAGCGACAGCATTGAGCGACCGGCCGGCCAACACACACGCGTTTTGCCTCAGCTCGTCGCTGCCAAATCGTCACCTGAAACGAGGTTGGGGATTTCCACGTGCAATGAACGGCGACCCCGGCAAACAGCCAAAAACATACTCCGGACAAGGAGGTCCGATGCCTCAACTCAGCCCATTTCAGCTCAGCTTGGTTTCCGACGTGGGGCTGTAAGCTGTAACGCGTGAAAGATGGTGTCGCATGCATCACGGCCTCCAGACGGCGATCTCGGGTGTCAGTCAAGGGCCAGCCACAAAACTAGTGACGGCGAGGTTGACTGCCTCCTCGAAAGCAAAGCCTACGTGATTTGAGTATCCACCGCAAGTGTTGTAACCGTAGCCCTAACACGAACACGAGCACTGAAGGGGGGAACCAAAATACGGCAGCCCAGACGCAAACACGCACACCTAGAGTACCCTGCGAAAACATCATGCGCATGGACTTAAACATGTTTCCCCTCTCTGGTCTCTTTCTACTCTCTTGCAGCGTGGTGTTTGTTGAATAAAGTGGACCCCCCCTAAGATTGACGAGCTGTTGCAGTCGCAGAGGCTGGACTTGTGTCGGAATGTCATCTTTTGGCAAGCTGCCAGACACGGTTGACTGGCAAGCTTTTCAACGGGGTATGGATATTTGGCAGCCTGTTCTGCGGTCTTGAACGGATTGTTTCAAAAGCAGCGTGCTGCTGTGCGTCTGCCGCCGTGCTTGGGTGCGGAGGTTGTTCTGAAACATAGAAGAGCGATGTATTGCTTCTGCCTTGCTGAAGAAATGCATGTGGTCGAAGGATGCAACCTGATTCAAACCCTCCCTCTTTTCGAAGATCACCTCGCAACCCTTTAGTCCCTGCACCCCCCATGGCGTGCCGAATTTCGCGCCCACAAGACATGAGTCTAAGCCTTTCGTTCTTCCACGACCTCTGGCCCATTCGCCACTGATTCAAGCTCAGAGTACTTCGCACATGCGAGCCTGACTCGAACACACAGGTGTTGGCACACTCACGGACCTATTTGGCTCGCTGTTTTTCTCCGAGGCAACCTTGAGAAAGCGGAAGGGCAAAGAATAAGTGGCTCAGGCACACGAGGACGAACCGCACTCAATGAGGGTCGTGGTACTACAAACATGTACCATATGTGTAAGAGAGTCTCTAAGCGTCTTCGGAACCCATAATACTCTTTGAAGCGTAGACTGTATGTATTGCTCGCAGAACCGCAGAACGAAGTCACTCACTCATACATCCTTATATTTTATTTTGATCGGTCTCCTCGACGCTCTTTCTCGTTTGGTGCGGTAGCTGGTCTTTCTTTCTATCATTTTGTTTCTCTTCCGAGTGGTTTTTGTAGCCTATTTTTTTCTGTTTCTTCGTGGGGTCGTGTATGCCGGGTTTTGAGACCACGTGCTCCCAATCTTTCTTTTTTAGAGCTAATGTGAGAAACAACAACAACAACATACTAGTATTAGGTTGAGTGTAAATTATCGTTCTTGTAGTGCTGCTGTAGATGTAGCACCCCCCCCTCCCTTCCCCTCGGTGTCAACGTTTCTAACGAAGTAGTCATCGCAGAACACTTCCCGACGGTGTCTTCAGAGGAATACATCAAATCTCATCGCGGGGATCTAGAGTTACAAATTCGATTGAGCCTATGGGTTTCGGCAAGACGGGCATTCGCAATGGTGGACTGTACGGAGCCTCTTCTTTTGTCTCGCTCTATCCGGGCCTGAGCATCAGCCGCGCACAAGCGCATTTGGTCGTCCCTTGTGGCGGAAAGTTCGGTCGCAACCTGTCCTCGCTCCGCGGCCTCGGCTTCGCTGATCTGATCGGCAAGGAGGAGGACAGTGAAAAAGACAGAGACTCGAGACAGTCATGAGCATATCGACAAGTAAACGGTGCGCCTTGCAATCATTCGAGGATAGTTTACTTACACAGCATAGAAAGTAGATACAGCCCACGGGTTGACTTCGTCAAGACCCCACATAACTGGCAAAGGGAACGTTTTTCGGCTCTGCTTGATACAGAAGACTATCCGAAAAACAACCACATCTCTCTGTTTGGTCATGTTGTTGTATCGATTATCTCTTATGCTCTATCTCGACGGGTCAACCTACGAGGCACCGTATCGTGCCCTTGTCAGTTTACTTCACACCGCTCTGCTTACTAGGAGGAATCGAATCACGCAATGAAGAACACAAAAGGCGGGCACCTATGCACTGTAGCCCGACTTGATGTCTTTTCGGTCTTGAGATACCAAGTGCAGCTCGGTTGTACCTCCAACAACGGCATGACACAAGACAAATGAAATGAACCCGTCCAACCCTGCTCCCGGAATGAATCGTGAGATAGGGGAAAATATCAACGCTACACGGTGCTGTTACCTTGTGATACGCGTCCGGCAGTCCGTTCTTCTTCGCTCTGAAGAACACGCGTAGCACATGCGGCTCGAGGTACGGCCGCCAGACGCCCTCCCCCACGCGAGCTCGCACGCTCTCCACAAACTCCTTTGCCGAGGCGCGGCCCGTGAGGTACAGCCCCGCCTTCTGGTCCCATTCTTCCGTGGCGTGGTCGTGGAACATGCGCTGGGCGCGTACCCATTCCAAGACCTGGCACAAGTATTCGATCGATGGGTGCTTCACTTAGAAAAAGCCCACGAAAAAGAACGGTGTTCGTCAGCTGCGGTCTCGAAGAAAGACAAGGTTCGGGGGGGATACCGCCTGTTACACTTACCATGAGGTTTTCGTCCAAAAAGGAACACACGGGTAGGCGTCAACAGGAACGGGTAGTCGACCATTCGCATCTGTACACGTAATCTTGGACGGTTAACATGGGATGGGTGCCGATCACGCGCTTGGGGCCGGTGGTCGTTTATCACGAAATCCTTCCCCTCGCTGTCGCCATCACGACCCATGCCACAACCTCAGCACTAGCACGTCAACAAAACAGTTCATCCCCAGTGTATTCTAGATCCTCCCTTGCCTCTCTAAGTCCTACGGGTCACGCCATCTACGAAGGCCGAGAAAAATAATCGCGGCACACACACACCTCGTTGCTCGTGTAGCCTGCAGGACGGGTGGCGTGTGCCTCGAGTCCGAAGCGAAGGTGCCACTTGTCTGGCAGCACCGGGAGGGGGTTCTGCTCAAGGTTGAGGTCCTTTACGTTCTTCTCCAGTTCAACCATTTCCAGGGGAAGTGACCTGGTCGGTGCAGGAGGCGCAGTTACGCAGTGCCAGCTTTAAAATTCTATTGTTGTGGATGTATTGAGTCTGAACAAACACAGGCAGGCAGGCGGAGTATCACCTGCTTTACAGGTTCGGTGTTTTCTGTGTACCAATCTTGCGTGAGTGAAGAAGGTGCAAATTAGGAGTTCCTGAGGCCAGAACAAGCCGGACTGCTTCGTGCAGCCACCGAGACGTCCTCCAGGCGTGGTAAAATGATTATTTCCACTGCTTTTACCATCACTCGTTGTCATCATCACCTTTAAATGCCTTTTTGCTCACTTTAGCAGGTTGTGCCTGAGGTGCAGCTTAGCAAGCGTCGTTAGGGCCCCGATCTCCCTTGGCAGAGTGCAGATGATGTTGGACGTCATGTCAAGCCGTAGCAAGTTCTTCATGCCGCATAGAAGCATCGGGATGTCCTTGAAACGATTGCAGCTTAGGTCCAGGTCTGTTAGACTCGTGAGGAACGTGAAGTTCTGCGGAAGGTTTCCGAGCGCGTTCTTTGACGCGTTGAGAGTTTCCAGATCCTGGCCGAACGTGGACGGTTGGGGTGGAGAATGTCTTTCGGTGACGGTGGAAACTGGTATTCCTGGTGTCGTTCGGCATCACTCCGTTTGGTATCGATAAGAAGAGCCGTGATGTCATCATGTTCCGCGAGACGCAAACAACATGAACATCTGGAATACTTAGAACGTGCCACGGCGTGAACATCTCTCCACAGAAACCGCAGAGCCAGCGCGATTGCACGGAGAATATCCTCTTCTCGCCCTCGCCCCCTCCCGTCCAATTCCCACCCGGTTCTTCTCATCTCTACTGTACGTCGCCAGTGCCACCCACCACGCCCAGTGCTGAACGTGATATAGTGTAACCTCCCCCAGGTGCTCTCAAACTTACCTCGAGAGCGCCTAACGATGGCGGCAAGCTTCCGATGTTGTTGCTCGAGATGTCCAGGTGTGTTAGGCGGGTCAGCAGCCCGAGATGATCCGGGAGGCGGCGCTCAAGGCGGTTATGCGCCAGGCCCAAGGTGTTGAGTTGCTTCAGAGCTCCAATTTCGTCTGGGATTTTGGTGATGAGGTTGGACCGCAAGTTGATGTCGTGCAACCTGGTTGATTGGTCACAGCCGGTGGAGCCCCGTTCGATTGGCGGGCAACCGGCGACATGAGGTCATGGTGCGGGCGGGGGGGG